CCCGGGAGCAGGGCGAACCCGCAGCCAAGCGGGGGAGCAGGGCTGCGGACGTGCCCTACAGAGTAGGCTCTAGGACCGCGGAGGCCACGGGGGGGGCGGCGGCGGCCGGAAGCGGCGCGCTGGGCGTGCCAGTTCAAAAGAGCGCCGGGGAGCCAGGAGAGGGGGAGGAAGCGGGGGTGAGGGCGGGTGGAGTTCTCCCTCTCCCCACAGGCAGCTCCAGGCGGGCAGCGGCCGGGGATGCAACCCCGAACCGAGGAGCACGGCAGGCCGACCCCGAGGGCGGCGGAACCGGGACGGCGGAGTGGGTCCAGCGGGACGGAGTGAGGCCGGCCGGACTGGATGCCCTAGGGCCGAGCTCGGGTGAGGGCGTTCTGAGCCTGACGGCCGGGGTAGTCAGGCGGAGCCCCCCGAAACTAAAGGACCGGAGGAGGGAGCTACCTTCCCCCGGCGGACTTTAGAGGACTGAGACTGGGGCGGGCAAGAGGCGAGAGACGAGCTGGGGGAGCACGTCTCGCCACAGGGGCCATAAAAGATAGATATTACCAAATTACCCGTATTAAACCGGAACACGGGCCGCAATTGGCCCGCGGTCCGGACTTTGGACATGCCTGCCTTAGAGAGACTAAATCACATGCCCAAGGTTACATAGGAAATCTGTGGTGGCACAGGGACTGATGCCAGTGCCCTAACCACTAGACCATGCTTCCTCATTTTTGCAGAGAAAATGCCTTGCTACTGAATCCTTCAGCAGATTCTTCTTCAGTATCATCAGGAAAAGGTGGCAGGCTTCCTACTCCAAAGTTGAAAACACTTGGTGGAGCTCAAAGAACTCATCATGATCTTACCACGCCAGCTGTTGGTAAAATATTTAAAATGAAAAGCAACATTCTGAGGAAATTCATGAATTCATTTATGAAAAATGTTTAATGTAACGAAGTATTTTATCTTCTGCTACTTTAGGAGGTGCAGTTTTAGTGTCTCCCTCTAAAATGAAGTCTTCATCTCCACAGCAGAGAAAGAAGAAGTCTTTAGAAACACACTATTCTACATCTAAAGAAGCTTCAAGGGAAAGAAAACCCAGAAGGGTGAGGAAAAAACGAGCATTTGTCAATATGCACTATAGAAAGATGCAGATATGATATCCTTTATATCAATTAGAATAATTGTTTTAACCCTATTTAAGACTTGACATGTTCCCATCTAAAATTTTCAATGTCATCTGTGATTGAAATGCTGGTAATTATATTTTTTTGGTAAAGCAATGGAAACTAAAGGACTGTGGAAGGGAATGCTGCATTATCTCCCATATATATTTCTGCATTAAACTGTGTGGAGTCCGGAGGAAAGCCTGCTGCGAAGATCACTTGATATCCCTACTACCTTTATCATGGCTCACTCCTGAAGTTATGCAGAGCTCCAAATTTCATGCTTTGGGTCAGGATACACGCCACATGAGCATCACTTCTCCCCTTCCATTGTGTTTGGAATTTGGTGCTTTATTTTAGCTTAGATTTGATTTATCTGTACCTCCTAGCATAGGGGTCAAACAGATACTAAGACAGTACTTAGTTTCATGGATCTTCATGGCTTATAGATTCTAAGGGCAGAAAGGACCACTGTGGTCATGTAATCTGGCCTCCTACGTACCAGGGCACAGTATTTCCCAGAATTAATTTATTCCTGTTTGAACAAAAGCTAATCTTCTGGAGAAATATTCATTCTGCCAGTGATGGAGAATCCACTACAACCCTTGGTAGGTTTTTCTAATGGTTAATTACCCTCGCTCTTAAAAATGTACGTTTTATTTTCAATATGAGTTTGTCTAGCGTCACATTCCGGCAATTGAATTTTCTTATACTTTTGTATTCTAGAGCCTATTATATTTTTGTTCTTATATCCGTGTAAGTGCTTCTTAATGCTGATGATTTCAACCTTTAGCTTTGTCTTTGTTAAGATAAATAGATTGAGTTCTTGCTTTCAATAGCCTTCACAGTACATAGTTGCATCACTTCACAAGCAGGTGTGTGGTCTCAATTTCTAAATATGCATAGGAGTACATTGCAGATTTCCCTTAGTCTAGTAGGATATATAGTAAAAAGCAGGAACACTAACTGCATTTTTTTTTAAATTCAAAGTTCAACTTTTGCCCTGGGTAATAAGCCTCAGATCTGAAATGACAAGGCATCTGTAATTATCTTATGTCTTTAGCTTTCCTATTTGCCCACTAAACATATTTGCAATAATAAGTCCTTATCTTTTTATATTCTACACTGTTTTCCCTCATGGAAATAAAATATAGGTTATTCCCTTTATTTAGGTTTTTGCTCAGTATCTAATAGTTGGTATTTTAATTGTGCCATAGATATTAATAGATCCTGTCTCCCAATTTCTTGGTTGGGATACCTATGATCCTGTCACTGTAGCAAATATTCCTGATTGGATGAGTGTTACAATCATCTTTTAGCTGCTGTCTGCCTTTTAATAGAGTTTTAAATCTTTTAGGGGTCTTGTGACTAAGTTTCTTCTGTTTTATTGTTGTAAGAGTCAGCCCACTTTTCAGAGTCGTACATTGACTTTTAGTATTAACGATAATGAGCAATTTATAAACATAAATTTTCACAAAGCTTCTCTGAGATAACTGAGTATTGATCTCCATATTAATCTTATAGTCCCATTTTGAAGCTGGGGAATCAAATCACAAAGATTGTGACCTCAAAATTATTGAGAGAGATAAGATTAGAAAATCAGAATTTCAACTACCAGGCTTTATTTCAGTCCATTAATTTATATTGTTTCCATGTATTCCAGGATTCCATGATCATCTCTAGAAGCAGAGAAGTGAATTTTTTTTCCTTTTCTGACCTGGTATTGTGTATGAATGCACACATGGCAAAATAGTGCAGGCTTAGGCCAAATGAAATTGAGAAAGGAGTGTAATGCTTTTGTACATGTGTAAAGCCTTTTTTGGATCATATTTAGAATATCTGTTGTAATGTGAGCTTTGTTTAACATGCCCCAAAGGCTTAAGTCATTTGCCTTGCTGGCAGCTGCAGCAAGGCAGCCAACACTTACCTTGCCTCTGCACTTGCTATTTGATATAACTCAAACTAATTTGCTGTTTTGTGTATAAACTAACGGAAGCCTTTTCTATGGCATTTCAGTTTGAAGGAGAAGCAGAAGCTGTATCACTACGTGACTCTCCAGCTGCTGGATTGAAAACTTTAGATCCTTTGCCTCTGAGGAAGAATTCTTGGCCTACTATCAATGCTTCTGATGAAAGAGCTTCTCAGACTTCAGCACATTCAACTATAGCTCCTGTGCAGAAATCAGTCAGATGCTCTACTTCCCCCTGCTGGAATCCATCCCGTCGCATTCAAGGGACTCTTAAGGATCCAGAGTTCCAGCATAATGGTACAGGTTTTTTTAAATAGGATTTTTCCATCAACTGAGTTTGTCACAGAATGTGGTAATTGCACGTGTGCAGGTCCCAAAGATTTGTGATTCCAAAAAAGAATGGCTGTGCTAATTGCAAAGAAACTGTTTTCTATCAGCCTGTTTCATCCTGCAAGAACAATCGCATTATTCTACACTTAAATGAGCTACTTTGAGTTATTCTGCTATGGGGAGATTTGGCCTTTCCTTCATGTTTGTTTAATATCTGTCCAATAGTGCTTTCTTGATTTCAGTAAAGAATTATTAGATAATTCAAATAATTGGTTCTGCATAAACAGTTTTGTTATCTCTTCTGTAGGCAGCCAGTGGAAAACCTAGTACATTTCCAGATAGGGTTACCCACATAGATGAGTAATTGGACACGTCCACAACATCATCACACGACTCCACAGTGCATTCTGTATAGGGAGAAGAGGAAAGACAGTAGCCTAGGTGTGATAAAACACTTATTTCCCCCTTTCACTATAGCTTTCCAGGGGGAGTCACAGCTTGAGTCTGTGGTGTTTGTATACCCTTTCATGTGCTGTGGGGCTAGGATGTTCAGGAAAGAGTTGCTGGCAAAGATAAATCTGTCATCATGGTCCCACCAGAGCTATGTTAAAAAGTGTAGTATGGAGACTCAGGGTCTATGTGAGCATGGCCCTGGCCTCTAAAGGATCATCAAAAATCAATGTGGATATTGAGAGAGCTATACTTTTTTGAGGACACTTGCATGTGAAGGTAGGGAGAAGGAGATAATTCAGCTGTCTCTATCTTTAAAAGGTCTGTTGAAATCTCAACAGCATTTCCTGGTCCCTGTGGGTGTGTGTTTACTGCACAGTAAACCCATGCTCTGACTTGGGTTTGAACCCAAGCCATCCTTCCAGGTCAGTCTCACTCAGGTCAGCAAGTACTGAGGCCTCAGGTCCTAGGACCCTGTTAGTACCCTGGGTCTGAGCCCCAATGCCTGCCGTGACTTTGGTCCAATCCTTGTCATGTTGCAGTGAACGCACTTGAAGGCAAAGACCATAGTCAGAAGGTCTGCAAATCACAGTATGAATGTATTAGAATGGCTTGGACACCTGAGTCCAGTAATTGTAAACTAAGGCTTACAATGCAATGTGGAACGTCAAGGACAGGGTTTTAAGTATCCAGTCCATAAGTGTGGGTGTCTCAAACTCAGGTTTACAATGTAATGTAGACATACTTATTACAGTGGGAGTTGCTATAATGGATGTAAATAAGGGAGTCTGTCCTGTAACTAGCAAGTATGTAGTACCCTAATTAATAGTTAGGCTTTTAGAAGTAATGTAAAAAAACTATTTAGAACATGAAGTGTCATCTCTAGACACTAGATTCTGATGCAGAATCAGCTCTTTTAATGGTATAAAAGTAACACCAGTGGCCTTTTCTTCTAGGGAACATTTCAAGTCCAAAGAAGAGCCATTTCCAGTTACCACTGCAGGAAATAAACTATACTGATGAAGGTATTTTTTTATTCTTAATTATTAAGCCATATGTATATGGATGAATTCTGGCATTATCTGCACCCCAATTGGAGATGGGTGCATACAGGACATAATGCATCCACCCCAAACATAGCCTCTGAAACCTGTATGCATGCCCAGACCATCAAAAGCAATCCAAATATTTTTTGTGTGCCCAGTAATATGAAAAGTTAAGTACAAACCACTATGAATAAACTGTGAAATATGGTTACAAATGAAACTGATTATAACTGTGGCTCAGTATGGCTAATTTAATGATTTCTTCCAAACTCAAATTTAACTGCCCCTTTCCTTTCCAATTTTCATAAGTCTTTTTTCTTCCAGCCTGGATCACAAGCAAAGTGCAAAAGTACTATGTCTGAGGGTGCTCTGGTATTTTTAATCCAAATAGATAAAATATAGAAGTATCTGTAATTTTATTGGAAATCCTGTTGTCATGAGAATTTGATACAAGCTGTATGTATTCTACAAGAAAACTCAAAATTAAGTATTTGTGCCAGGAGGGACTCTGACCTGATGCACTGCTGTACATCCATTGAGTCATTACAGATTTTGTCACTGCTTTAGCAAGATGGTCACTATCAGTAACTGTCTTGGATTATCAGTTTTCCAGACAAGGAGAACAAATAGTATTGTGAATTTTCAGAGATCAAACAGAAATTGGTACTACACCCTACAATATGCTGTGTTTTCTGCGATTCTAAATTGGATTGTTTAACATGTAGTACCATCTCTAAAGCTTGCCTTAAATCTTTGAAAGACTTTGGTCCAAACATTCTTGAATAGGTTCCTAATTTGCACATACAATTAGCAGTTTGCTCATAAAGGGGATTTTTGTATCTGTATATATAAGCGCTTCAATCTGTTTGTATGCATTTATGCACTTAAAATACCACCATTTGGGCAAAGTTTTAGTAGCAAAGATGCATCTGGTACAGTGCTGTTATCTAAAATGTGTGGTGAAGTTGTGGGATGTTGCAGAGTGCTATTGAATTTCAGATGCTTTCTATAGACATATAGATGCTTTGCTGAGCAATTTGCACTGCCCACATGCTTTCCTGCCAGCTGCAGTGACTAAAATAGAAAAGAATTGCCCTGATCCTCCACTATGACCAAGGAGCACATAATACATCCCAAGATGTGGGAGGATGTGCAAAAGAGATTTAATCTGCTCTTGTGCTCCCTGTTCTAGACTAGCTGCTTAGCAGCTGATTTCCTGGGGTAACTGAGAGCAGCTTGAAGGCAGCTCTAATTTACACTGGTTGCTATAAATCCCAAGGGACCAATACAGTACCCAGGGATTACTAGAACCATGAACTGGAGAAGGGGAAAAAGTATAGAAGTTACTATGTCAGTTCTGCAGTACTGGAGGATCATTTTGGGCTGTAAAGATTAGGCACAGTGAATCTAGCTTTTTAAAGAGAGCTCAATGCCAGATTCCCACTGCATTTCATTGAGCATTAAACACCACATTTAAAAATCCTAGTCAGTATGCTTGTAGCTTTCTAATTAGCTTCCCCTACAACAGTAAGGCTAACGATAACATAGAATTAAAAAACAACGAATAGTCTTGCAGCACCTTAAAGACTAACAAAATATGTAGATAAACTTCAACAACAACGGTTTGGTAGCACTTTATAGACTAACAAAACGTAGGGAATCATGAGCTTTCATGGGCACAACCTACTTCTTCAGTTGACTTTCAGATGCTTTCTGTAGACATATAGATGCTTTGCTGGGCAACTTGCACTGCCCACACACTTTCCAGACATCTGCAGTGACTAGAATATAAAAGAATTGCCCTGATCCTCCACTTTGATAATGTAGATGTTTGCATTTGATTTTGTAGCATTAATTGTCATAAATTACCTACAAACCTTTGCTTTTGAGGAGTCAGCCACAGCTGCTTTAATTGTTTAGAATTTAACTCTGATTTGTGGATTATTTATAGGTATGTTTTCCTTGTTGCTTGCACTTACAGATGACAGATTGTCCCAGATCTCTGCTCGCTCTGCGGCTTCTAGCTCACTAGCATCTCAGATTCTGGAACGAGCTCAGAAGAGGAAAGAAAATTTCTGGGGCAAGTCGTAGTAGGTTCCACCAGGGAGTTACTGTTTTGTACAAAGATGTATTTTTACTGCACAGTTGTGTACTTGATTTTTGGAAAATTTTATATTTTTGGCCTTGTACGTATTAGTAAGATGGCCTGACATTTGACACTTCAGTTGAAATAGATGGGAGTTCTGTGTACACTGCTTTTTAAAATCTTTCAGTTATGGCATGTCTTGAAATTGAAAGTAATTATTTTTCTATAACTTGTATTTAATTTCTGAAGATGTGTTATTACAAGAATATAGTACATCAAAAACAGTATTTTGGGACGATATCATCATTCACCTACAACTATACCTCAGACATTTGATTTTAAGCATGTCTGTGTTAGCAGATAGTTATGTTAGGTGTTTGCTCATAATCCTGTATGAATTCTGAATATGTACTAACTATTGTCATGATGTCATTTAGTACTATCTAACCTTACTACCAAACCCCCCACATTTAATATTTCAACAAATGTGATGTGAAATATGCAACAAGTGTTGAGGTTTTGATTTGGACTCCAAGATCTTTCTAGTTAAAAAATAAATATTTAAGAAAGCCAAACACTTGTTTTTCATCTAGACTTTGATAGCTTACTGTTTGGGACCACTTTTAGCTATGCCTGGAGTATCCATATGGATGGCTGTATTATTGTCAAGACCAGTGTTTAATGTTGATTTTAGATACTAGGGAAAAATGCCCCTAAATTGCTGGTATTTCAAATACAGGTGTTAAATTACCCCCTAATACTCCCCAATTACCTCTTCATACTCGTAGTTATCTGTTTCTGAGTGAGTGAACAACTGTAATGATGGTCACAGGTAAAACTGATTGTTATTTATTCTGATGGCCTATTTTTTTCTTGTTATTTGACAAAAGCAAGTTAACACGAAGTAGGTGAAAATAATTGCTTAGACATTTTTAAATAAAAATTAAGTTAACGTACTTGTACAATGAAGAATTTGAATTTTGTATACATTTAAAAATAAAAAAAATCAAGTTTACCTTGTTTTCACTCAGTTTAATATGCCCAGCAGAAGGCCAGACCGTCTCGATGGCCTTCTTGAAGACAAGCTGCTGTCACCCTGGAAAAGTCCAGAACTGCTCTTTATAAAAGTTCAGTTACTCATGCACCATAGAAAAGTTGACATTTGGAATCATGATTAACTGGATCCAGAACCAAAACCCATAGTCCAAGTTGAAAGACTGAGACTTCCTTTCAACTGGGCCTTTATAAGCTGGTCTATGTTGGTGTCAGGAATAAGCTCGTCCTACTATAAATAAGAAGTTGGAAAATTGCATGCAACTGTTGACTACAGAAGGGGAGATTGTTAAAAAAGCAGTTTCCTCAGCCGAAAGAGTTCCTTTAGAAATGTTTATTTTTTATCATGCTCTTCATGCCCATTTCATGTGGACTCAGGTGCCATTTAAAATAAGGCTGGTTGGAAATTTTCTAGACTGTTTTTAATGGAAAACTAGTTTCTGATTAAGCAAAATTTTGTTTAAAAGTTTTCCACAGAGTCTTTCCATTTTCTCTCAAATTGGAATGGCTGGAACCAGAAATACTTATCTGGAAATAGTGTTGGGGTGCCTTCTTTGGGCTGAGTTTCCTAGTTGGACTACAGTGGCCGATGATGGATGCACCATGGTCGATGACTCCCATGATGCACTGCTTCCTCTCTCCAAAAGGGTAGATTGTGGTGCTTCATGGGAGATGGAGTCATAGATGAGCCTCTAGAAGAGGCTAGAACTCTCATGAGGTACTATAGCGGCATCTCTACGTAAAAATATTTATACTTTTGGCCAAAATTTTTCAGTTGTCAAACTGCAATTGGAAAAATAAAAATCCAATTTCTATGGAAAATTTAGACAAAATGAATGTCAGAATTTTCCACAAGGTGCTGTTTTTTTTGTCCAACTTTAAAGCATTTGAGAGATTCTTTTTTTGTGTTCTTCAAGGCAGCCATAAAAAGCTCAGTGCACATTTTCTGTCAGTAGACCTGTTTGGATATCACACTAATAATGCAGGCTGATAGTATTTTCCTTCAGTTAACTCCCCAACACATTGCTAAGCAAGGTCTCTCCTGATTTGAAGCAGACTACATATTTGGGCAAGTTTGAAAGGAAAACATACTTATTTGTACTGAGTTACAAATAAAAAACTATTTTGTTGTCCATAACACCCCCAAAGACGACACTCCTAGAAGTATAGTCAGAATAATCAGCAGCTCATTTCTTATTATTATTTTATTATTCAGTTTATTACTCTGCACCTAGGTTCTCAGCATGTAGTGTAGTGCTTCATAAAGATTCTGCATGACAGATTACTGTCACTGTAGTAAATCAATCTCCCTCAGAAGTGGTATCTAGGTTTAGGCTGGTTTACTACAGCTCTGAGAGGAGTGAAGTTTTCACAGCTCTGAACCATGTAGCTGGGTCAACCTAACTTTACATGGTAGATCAGCTCTTCATGTTGACATTTGTCATTCTCTGTTTAGTGCCTCACTGAGATGAATAGGGTAATTGCAGTGTAGGCATTGATTCAGGCTGTCACACTACATTAGTTAACTTTCTAAGCTGAAAGAGTATTGTAATGCCAGAACCAGACATTTTGAAAATTTAGATGCAAAATTATAATTCTGAAGCAGCAAGTAAATTGTGCAGTAAAGTTCTCAGCCATAGACTATCCATTACACTATCTATATTAAGTTACTGCTGCCTATGTATTATAGTTGCAAGAAGATGGATGATTAGCAAGTAGCTTGGTTGTCTCAATCACTGGATTTCTCAGTTATTCACAAATCCCTCTCTCTCCACATTGTCTAAGCATGGTTTGGAATTACTGCACCCTGACAGATATGTAGGTATGCTGGGCAGGAAAAGTGTTAACTGGTTCCATCTATTCCTTCTGTGGGAGCTGTAATTCTATAATGCTAGCTATGTTATCCAGGAAAATAAGCTACTTGAAAAAGAGTTTTGGTAACAGGGTCTCCTTTGAAAATAGGCAACTTCGTTGCTTGACATCAAATTATTAGAGTTACCTAAATCCCCGGATTTCTGCTTCATGCTCGGCATTTGAGTATCTCAGCTGTTTGTAGAATGTGATTAAAATATAGGCAAAGAGTCCAAGTCGTCATTAAATGGAAGTTTTGCTGTTAAGTGGGTTAGCCAAGTTTTAACAGGGTAGACTGGAACAAAATAATTCTGCTATTCAAATACAAATGACTGATAAAGGAAAGTGTGAATTGGGATTTAAATTGCTCTGCCATTTTTTTTTACTGATTGTCACAGATTAATTTTTCTTGCAAGAAGTGTTTCAATAGAAGTGTCTTAAATAGAATTATCCCATGCAATTATTCTAACCTTAACAAGTTAATTTCAGTTTCAGGAGATGAGAACTCTGCAGAATTCTGTTTAGCATTTTGTAATACAGTACAGCCACCTACCCTGCAGCTAATGATTTGCTCTTCCACATATCTAGTGAGGAAAGCACAATTTCAAATGTTTTCTGTTAAAAGCATAAAATAGTAAGGAGTGCAAGGCATGGCAGCTTTGGGAGCTCTAGGAAACGTTTTCTTTGGCTGCTATGAGACAGCTGTTGCTTAGGACATAGTAAGCGTGCTACATATATCTAAGCTTGGCTCCAATAAACTGTGCCTCTAATAAGAGGGCTTGCTAGTGTATCTATATACCAATATAGCTACCCTGGCAAACTCCTTCTAATGGAGAGAAGGCCTCAGATGGGAGAAAAGACAACAGCTGAAGTTGCCTTGTATGACATGACTATTAAGAGCCTCTGGAGATAGATAGGGTTCTTCAGCAGTGTGCGTGAAGGATCTAATACTCTAAATATTTCTATTGTAAGTTTACTTACATTGAATGGAGGTAATTGACAAGAAACTTTTATTTTTCAATTTACCTCTTGGCTTATTTTTTAATCGCACATACCCACTGGGAGTTTGAGTCTTAACTTTACTCTTTATTTTAATCTGCTTACATCTGTTGTAGTCCATCCTATTCTTCTGAAGAGGACTCTAACAAATGCCCTATCAGCAACTAAATAGCCATATTTGTTTTGTATGTTTCAATTGTACGTTTTCCTCTGATATTTACATACTGTTTTTAAAAATTATTATTGCTTCACATATGTCGGACCTATTCAAAGGCCTATTCAACTGAATAAACTCAGCTAGAGCATTATTAAGGCATCACTGAACTTCAGCTTTTAACACAGCTTTGAAAATTTGTACTCCCATTAACAATGGTTTTTTTGCATAATATGTCAGTAATTCTACTTTGCCAAGTCACTGAGTCACTGTCTTGCAAGTTAGAACAACCACCACCACCACGCAACAGGAAATACAGAAATTTCAGTACACCTGACCTAACTTCTCAAGAGTTGGATATATGTAGGTCATTAAATAGATCAACAGTATCTCATAATTAGCATGCTAGAACTTGGTTATACATTTTTTTAAAATCAAAGGAATCGTGTATATGGCGGAATAGTCGATAATGGTTTAGAACTTATCTACCATAAAATTATAAACAGGTGCAATGAGATATTCTGGTTTCTGTTTGTAAGCCTCTACTTCTGTAGAGGGATAGCTCCTACTACAGCAGGTCTGAATTAACTACTCTTATTTATACATTACAGTTGTACAGCAATACAGTTGTGGATGATTACTGTCATTGGATAATGGACTAGACTCATGCCTGTTGTAGCACCACTGAAGTAAACAATACTATTTTATTTGTTTGCAAATTGTGTTGAATTTTCATGTAACTACTATGGAAGTTATTATGACATCTAGCAGAACAATATGTGTAGCACCCATATAGAGATATGCAAAGCTGGTTCAGTGTAGTCTTCTGTTGAGACCATATTGATCACAATGGTTTTGATAGAAGAATAAGAATGTTTAAAAAACCAGCCATATAAGGCTATTTAAAGTTTATCCCACAATTGGTTAACAGTTTGTTTATGATTTTAAAAGTATCAAAACATGACCCTTTTAAGACGAAAACCTTTAGATTATTATATTTAAGTAGCATCTTTCTTTAACCTACCTCGAAATTACATATCTGCACCAATTTAAAGTCAGAGACAAGTCAATTTTTAGAAGAACCCCAGTACTACAAGAGAAACTAGAAGTGTTATAACCATAGTAAATGGGTGAAACTCATATTCTTCATGCACTGCTGGAGTACATAAGTTTTGGGCTGAAGATGAGCCTAAGAATTAGGGAGGACTGAATCTCCCTAACTTATGCCTAGTCAGCTACGAGCCAATTCCTACATGACAGTCCTGATAATATGCATAATAGATGTACATCAAAGTACAAATGTTAGTTCTTTACCTGTGGGTTGATTGAAAAGCAAGGAGGAAGCTTTTGTGGCTTTAGGGGCTAAAGTGATGTAAACTTCCAGTCTTCCCCCAAAACGATATATGGGTTAGTAAGTCATTGTCGAGAATGTGAAACCACATCGGTTTCCCAGTGTATTAGGGAAACTCCATACGTAATTACACTTAAAGAATTATCACTGGGAGTCAGTCACGGGGGACACTTCTAATTCTAAGATGTCATTGGAAAAAGTGAGGTTAAGGACATGAAAGCTCATCTTGTGCAGTTTTAGTATAGTTATTGGGGCTGATTTTTCAAAAAATGTTATGAAGAATATTTTACTGAGGATCAAAGTGTTTTTTGCTCTTTCAACAGAGTTACCATGGATCTTCTTACTTGAGTTAGATACTCCCAAGATTTATGATCTCAGGAGCAAAGGAGGATGACTATGGTGTCAGATGTGGTGCAAAAAAGCTTTTACAAGAAGCAGATTCACTCTTTGGAGGGCTCATTAGTAAGAGATTATAGTGTAGCCAGGGAATGATATGCTTTTTCATGAGCCTCTCTTTTCCATCAGTGTTGTAAATGCAGGTCTCAATCATATGTCCAAGTCTGCAATTAGCTATGTAAGATAAGACAGATGGAAAAAAGGGGAAGGT